TGGCATATTTGAATAAGTCTTGCAGGTGTAAAATGTTAATAATTTCTTTGTTACACTTGACACTTGCACAAATCTTCTGAGAGGGATGACGAAGGAGGCTGAATAGTTTACGTATATCGTTCAAAGCAGCTTTAAAAGCTGTAATAAAATTATGACTCTTGGACAGCTTTTAGCATCATGATTAATAACTCAGTTTTCTCTTGGTGTAATATTTCTTATACTCATTATTGAAGATATAGACGAAGTGAAAAGATCACAACATACATCACAAAGATGATATGAATCAACATATCAAAGATGTTACTATACTTCTACTTTTAAAATTTGAATAATGCTTGAACCTTACCTGGCTAATCATAGCGTATATTGAATAATTCTTGCGAGGTTAAAATGTGAATGATTTGTTTGTTATACTTAACACTTGTTCAAAATCTTGTGAGAGGGAAGACGAAGGAGGCTGCACAGTTTTTACGTATATCGTTCAAAGGCAATTTTAAAAGCTGTTATAATATTATGACTCTTGGACAGCTTTTAGGATCATGATTGATAACTCAGTTTTCTCTTGGTGTAATATTTCTTATACTTATTATTGAAGATATAGACGAAGTGAAAAGATCACAACATACATCACAAAGGTGATATGAATCAACATATTAAAGATGTTACTACAATTCTACTTTTAAAATTTTGAATAATGCTTGAATCTTAGATGGCTAATCATGGCATATATTGAATAAGTCTTTCGGGGTTAAAATAAGAATAATTTCTTTGTTATACTTGATACTTGCTGAAAATCTTCTGAGAGGGAAGACGAAAGGAGGCTTTAAAGTTTTACGTATATAGTTCAAAGACAGCTTTAAAAGCTGTAATAATATATCATTCCTAGACAGCTTTTAGCATCATGATTGATAACTCAGTTTTCTTTTGGTGTAATATTTCTTATACTTATTAGCGAAGATATTACACTTAGAAGTCTAGGGTTTTGTCAGTTGATCAAAGAGGCCACTAGAATAACTGCTCAGTCCGCCACATTATTAGATTTAATAGCGACGAACAATAAGAGGTTTATTAGTAAATCTGGAGTATTTAATGCTTGTCTGAGTGACCATGACTTGGTATACTGTATTAGAAAAATGAATTGTAAGCGATCACCTGGACGGACTAAGTCATTTAGAAATTATGCAAGATATAATAGCTCTGCTTTTTGTAATGACCTACGAGGAATCGACTGGGAGAAACAAATGAATTCGACTTTGCCAGAAAGATTGAATGTGAATTTGAGTGTCATTGATCGAATGTGGCTTAACTTTAAATTTGCATTTATTTCTGTTGTTGATCGTCATGCACCAGTGATAAATAAACGGGTGAGAGGAATTGATTGTCCATGGTTGAATGGGGAGATTAAGAAAGTCATGCATGAAAGGGATAATCAAAGCAAAACAGCTCGTAAGACTAATTTGGCTGCAGATTGGAACAAATATAAGTTACTTAGAAATCGGGTCACTGCATTGGTGAAATCAGCTAAAAGAAGTTATAATAGGAAGTTAATAGAAGAGAATTCTGAAGACCCCAAGTCTTTTTGGAGGACATTAACTAGATTAATACCAGGGAAAAAAGAACTTCCTAGGAGTATTAAAGTAGATAACACGTCATTGTATTGTTATTCGAAGATTGCAAATGGTTTCAACAGATTTTTTGTTGGCACAATAACCCGATTGACCGAAGCTATGGGATCTGTTTTTACACTAGGAGAGAGTTTTGGCACGTATTGGAAAAGCAATTCTCCAAAAGAACTGTTTCATTTTCAGGAGGTATCCGAGAATTTGACACTTGGTCAACTTAAAGTGCCACTGTGACGAAAATTCAATTGCCTTTTTTTTACCTTTATTGTAAAGAGTATATACTAATATAATATCTCGCGAAATATTAGTGTGTCAAGTCATTTTATGACTGCGTTATGTGCGCATAAAGTTCGTAATTTTATGACCGCCATTAAAATCCGCCATATTGGCAAAGTTCATGCGAAAGGCCATGTGTGACGTCATAGTCTTCACATTTGCTACACGCGATAATATACTATATTATAGGAGCACTACAGACGCAGTTAGAAAAATATATTTATTTCAATATGCCATCGCCGCGTTGTGTTGTACAAAATTGCAGTAATATGTCTGACAAAAACGCAGGCATTTCACTGCATTCTAGTCCATCTGACGAATTTTTGAGAAGAATATGGATAAAATTTGTTCAAACTAAGCGCGCCAATTTTTTCCCGGGTTCAAAAAATCATCGCTTTATGGTTTGCTCCGACCACTTTTCGACCGATAGTTTCGAGCGCTTATTTCATTTGGATGGTTCATCAAGACGACTCAAGCGCGGTGCTGTTCCAACTATTTGGAAAAAACCACATGCGGTGCCAGAGCTAACAACAAGAGAACGGCGAAAGGTTAGTAATTGTAGCGGATATTTTATACTTTATAGGCTAATTATAAATTCGCGCAATGAACTATTTGTTTTGATCAATATAGCTTTTAAACGACATGCAAAAAGAGTATTCGCAGGAAAACAATGCAAATATAACACGGAATATTGATGAAACGCTAGACGTGGAAAATTGTGAAAATTTGGTAAGTTACATCGGGGAATAAGTTTTTACAAATTTGTATTTGATAATAGAGGTCAAATTTAGTCGGCAGAGGGGTCAAAAATATGTATGCAATAAATACGAATTATTTATATTGCTTCAGAATTTGCTCACTCCAGAACCAGTGGATGACGAAAAGAGTACGGCTTTGCCTGTGGATAAAATTAGTTTATGCAACGAAGAGGTTGTAAACACGAATATTTACCTAATATTTGCAAGTTATAAGTCGGTTCATTCATAATACTCTGCTTTATCGATTACCATGTATAGCCAGAACAAGAATTGGGTGAAACTCCATGCCGCAGCTGCAAAACAAAAGAAAAACAGTTAGATGAGCTGAACGCCAAATTGACAAACGTGTACGCAAAACTGGCCATTAACCAGACACAATGGATACACACAATTAAATCAATAGAAAATAAAAATAACAATTGTGAGTAATTGTAACTGCATGTGTGATATGCACTGAATAACCAATTCTATTTCAACACTTACCTACATTGATTTTCTCTATCAGATGAACAAACGTCTCAGCAAATGGGTGACGCCATCACTGATGAAAACAATCCGGTTTTACTAGCGGAGAAAACCCAAGGTTGGCATTTGCATATGTATCATAAATCATACATAACACAGTACCTGCATACCAAGCACAGCTCATTTTTTTATTTATGACAACTTAGATAATGTTGTTGAAGAACTTTTGGAGGATATGGATATGTCTATATCTGACGACGAGACCAATGACTCAGACACTGCTGATCCACTATGGGAGCCTGAGCAACTGCAACGAAATTATGAGAAAACTGCTGATGATGATGATACCTCAACTAAACTGTAATTATTCAAGTTGTGAATAATATAGTGATCTTTATTATGCCCATTACCATGCTCACAATCTGTCTATTCATTTTTTTAGAATAAACCATTGGAAAAACAAAAGAGATGAACCCAAGGGCATTGTCTTTCTTTCTCAACTATTGCTTCTTGTACAACATTGTCACATCTGTTTTAGTCCTAAACCGCAAGTAAAAACAAGTCGCTGTGGAACCATGATAGTTGTCAGCACGCATTGCAAGAACTGCAAGGAAAAATTTATCTGGAAAAGCCAACCTACTCTTCTAGGAAAGTTTCCAGCTGGGAATATCCTTCTTAGCTTTGCTATCCTATGTGCAGGAGCATCCCCCAGAAAAATACTTCAGGTATTCAAGAATATGGGAGTTTTAGGCTACAATGAGGTGACATATTACTACCATCAAAGGCAATTTCTCTTCCCCTCCATTGTTATGTATTGGAATTCCTACCAGAAAAAGATCTTGGATTCCCTGAAAGGAAAAGAAGTAGTGTTAGCTGGAGATGGACGACATGACAGCATGGGGCATTCTGCAAAGTACTGCACATACACTATGTTTTGTTGCACAGTTGGACTCATAATTCACCTGGTAGTTATTCAGGTAATTACAAAGCCAAAATATTCATAAAAGTAAATAAAACATAGGCCAATTACCACAATGTTTCACTAAGTACACTTCTATTTCACAGGCAAACCAAGCAGGGAGTAGCACAGCAATGGAGGCTCTAGGTCACCAAAAAGCATTGTCATTTCTGCTTTCAACTGCTATCATCATAACAACATTTGTGTCAGACCGTCATGCGTCAATTACCAAGTGGATGAGAGAGACTTGTCCTAAAATGTGCAAGCAAGCAGGGAAACCAGTCATAAAACACTTCTTTGATTTGTGGCATATTGGGAAAAGTATTTGTTTTATTATTTTTTTTTAAGCTTCACAGTGTTGGTATAAACACTAAAACATTTTTAACTGCTATTTTGCAGAAATTCAAAAGATTCTGATCAAACTTGCGAAGGAGAAAGATTGTGAAGTACTTGGGAAATGGAGAAAAGCATGTGTGCGGCATTTCTACTGGGCAGCTACATCAACCTTATCTGGAATTGGAGAAGTGAAATGGGCAAAATTTGAATCTTTTTTTAACCACATCATAAACCAACACAAAAACTTTGCAAATAAAATTTACAACAAGTGCAGCCACAGTGACATTTTGAAACCTCGTGTTTGGTTAACTAAGGGTAATATTAAATTTATGTTGAAAACACAAGACAGGTTAAAGTATTTCTAACCACCAGTATCAACTTATATGCCTACAGGTTCTGTTGCATATGAAAAATTGGTGGAAGCACTTACTAAGAAAAGGCTAGTAAAGGCTGTTAAACAGGCGTCATCTGTGGCCCAAACCAGCTGCTTGGAAGGATACCACTCAGTTGTTAATCAGTTTGCCCCCAAAATGACCCATTACTCATACACTGGAATGCTTTGCAGGTAGATTACATATAGTAAATTGCTAACAGAAGAAAGCAGGTGATTAGGTTAATTGCCAATCAGACAATGAAACTATTTTGTATTTTACAGATCCATTTTAGCAGCGGTGCATTTCAACTTCAATTTACGGAGAGAAAATAAAACAAATAAGGATGGACAAGCACGTCTTCGGGTTGTTTATGCAAAATATAAGGAGGGAGAGGGGACTGTTCGGAATGTTCGAGTGAAGCAAGACTTTTGTAAGTTTGTTAAAGTCATACAAATTTACTTACTCAAATAAGATTAATGCAACGAAGATGTTACCAGATGTATTGTCAGTTCATTTGTAGTGTGATGTGGCTGTTCCTAATTCAGTTCCTTTTCTTCAACACTTCTTTAGCATATATTGAGCAAATTTATGAAACCATGACAAGTACTCCAAGAAAAGAACTGGAAAAATTGGAAAAGGAATTAAGAAAGGAAACTCCACAACCACTTCATTCACTGCTAGAAAACAAACAAGATAAAGAAGAGGCCATTGACATTTACATGTCTCGAAAACGTAAAATTAACACAGACTGTCCTCCTACATGCTCAGGTAAAATTAGTTGCATTTTTTTTAATCATTCAGTAAATAAAATAACTCAAAAATTTTTTTAGATCAAGAACTGCAGGCTTTGTTGAGCAAAAAGTCTAAAGGACAGGCTGCAAGAAAACCACCAACATGCAAGACTTGTGGAAACCCAATGAAAGGTCACAAGAAGGTGGATTGTCGTGTAAATAGTTTGGAGTAATTTGTAAATATTTTGACCACAGTTTCAATCATACAATCACCATTTCATTTTACACAGCGTCTTTTCATCCTATGTGAAGACTGCATTCAATTCGCCTCCCTTACCCTATTTATATGTCTTCGTCATCTTCAAAGCCAGTGTAGTCGCGGTCATCTGTGTTGGGAAATGTCGAGCGTATCCTTTTGTAGCAGCAACACGGTAGTGGGATGTGTCGGGAGCTGCCAGTGAAATCCCACACCAAACGCACCAGTTGCCTGTATGACACCGCTCGTAAGAACCTGCAAAGATATACATATAGAAATTGTCAGCAAATATTTACAGGACAAAAGTGTGGTTTATATTCAACGTTTAAAACTTACTCCGCTCTTGTCTTTTGACCTTCTCGAAACACAGAATTATAATTCCTGTGCCCTTTTGTCTTTAATCCCAACGACGCAATTTCCAAAACCCATTCATTTAGACACACGTCGTTAAAACCCGGGTGATCAACAATGCATTTTTGATGGCCTTCGTCTTCATGTTCATACATCTTATCCCTGCACTGACTTATCTCCATACAACAGCGACACTCTTCAGGTTTCACAATCATGTCGAGGGAACAATTGCCACATTCACACCTTGCAAACAAGAAAAGGCCTAAATAATGTTTGTTCTGCTGTGTATATACAATTATACATACACTTACCAAGAAGTCACGTCAACTTGTGCCTCAAAACGTATTTGCAACGTATTTTCCAATTGCTGTTCGACGGCCACGGCTTCTTCATATTCAGCTACTTCCTCGGGTGACGCAAGTGGCTCAACACTGTCGTCAAACGGCGCAAAAACTTCAGCGTTCGAATCGCGCGATAGCCCCGAATTGGCTGTCGAATAAACCGATGATTCTACAGAAGAATCTGACTCGGTCAAAGACTCCGAAACGCTTTAGATTTCGATGAAATTGACATTTTATATCGTGTATGCCGCACTATACTGGTATAAATACTGCTTTGTTTCCTACAATATTCCCAATGTGTTATTTTGAAGTGTTGAGACTATGACGTCACGAGCCATCTCAAAAATATGAAATAAAGATGGCGGATTTTAATGGCGGATGATGATTTTGGACATTTCTAACACTTATACTGGAGCGGGTACTGCTCCATTTCGACTGAAATTTTGAATAAGGCCTATTTTTACATTGGTAAAGTCATTTCTGAAAAAAAATTACACTTTTTGATGACAAATTTTCGTCACAGTGGCACTTTAATAAGTTGAAAAGTAAGAAAGCAGTCGGATTAGATGCAATCCCTACACGACTTTTAAAGACTCGGCGGAAATCATTACAAATCCACTTACGAAATAATAAATTTTTCACTGACTAATGGATGTGTTCCAAGTGAGTGGAAAGAGGCAAGAGTTATCCCACTTTTTAAATCAGGGAACTCCGATAATATGGATAATTATCGTCCAGTATCAATTCTACCTACTGTTTCTAGATATTAGAGCGAGCTGTCCATACCCAGTTGTACAAGTTTATTACTGATAACAACTTGTTGAGTCCGTATCAGAGCGGCTTTCGCAAGCGTCACTCGACTGACACAGCCTGTATAAGTTTTACCGATAGTATTCGACGTGGTATGGATCAGGGTTTGCTTACGGGGTCGTGTACGGAATCTTGTACCGAATCTTACTTGGCTAATCATGGCATGTATTGAATAAGTCTTGCGGGTGTAAATGTTAATAAGTTTCTTTGTTATACTTGACACTTGCACAAAATCTTCTGAGAGGGATGACGAAGGAGGCTGCACAGTTTTTACGTAATATCGTTCAAAGCAGCTTTAAAAGCTGTAAAATTATGACTCTTGGACAGCTTTTAGCATCATGATTAATAACTCAGTTTTCTCTTGGTGTAATATTTCTTATACTCATTATTGAAGATATAGATGAAGTGAAAAGATCACAACATACATCACAAAGGTGATATGAATCAACATATGCAAGATGTTACTATAATTCTACTTTTAAAATTTTTAATAATGCTTGAATCTTACATGGCTAATCATGGCATATATTGAATAAGTCTTTCGGGGTTAAAATAAGAATAATTCCTTTGTTATACCTTATACTTGCTGAAAATCTTCTGAGAGGGAAGCCGAAAGGAGGCTTTAAAGTTTTTACGTATATAGTTCAAAGACAGCTTTAAAAGGTGTAATAATATTATGATTCCTGGACAGCTTTTAGCATCATGATTGATAACTCAGTTTTCTTTTGGTGTAATATTTCTTATACTTAATAGCGAAGATATAGATGAAGTGAAAAGATCACAACATACATCACAAAGGTGATATGAATAAACATATGAAAGATGTTACTATAATTCTTCTTTTAAAATTTTGAATAATGCTTGAATCTTACTTGGCTAATCATGGCATATATTAAATAAGTCTTGCGGGTGTAAAATGTTAATAAGTTTCTTTGTTATACTTGACACTTGGCACAAAATCTTCTGAGAGGGATGACAAAGGAGGCTGCACAGTTTTTACATATATCGTTCAAAGCAGCTTTAAAAGCTGTAATAATATTATGACTCTTTGACAGCTTTTAGCATCATTATTGATAACTAAGTTTTCTCTTGGTGTAATATTTCTTATACTCATTATTGAAGATATAGACGAAGTGAAAAGATCACAACATACATCACAAAGGTGATATGAATCAACATATCAAAGATGTTACTATAATTCTACTTTTAAAATTTTGAATAATGCTTGAACCTTACATGGCTAATCATAGCGTATATTGAATAATTCTTGCGAGGTTAAAATGTGAATAATTTGTTTGTTATACTTAACACTTGCTCAAAATCTTGTGAGAGGGAAGACGAAGGAGGCTGCAAAGTTTTTTGTATATCGTTCAAAGGCAATTTTAAAGCTGTAATTATATGACTTTTGGACAGCTTTTAGGATCATAATTGATAACTCAGTTTTCTCTTGGTGTAATATTTCTTATACTTATTATTGAAGATATAGACGAAGTGAAAAGATCACAACATACATCACAAAGGTGATAAGAATCAACATATCAAAGATGTTACTATAATTCTACTTTTAAAATTTTGAATAATGCTTGAATCTTAGATGGCTAACCATGGCATATATTGAATAAATCTTTCGGGGTTAAAATAAGAATAATTTCTTTGTTATACTTGACACTTGCTCAAAATCTTCTGAGAGGGATGACGAAGGAGGCTGCACAGTTTTTACGTATATCGTTCAAAGGCAATTTTAAAAGCTGTAATAATATTATGATTCCTGGACAGCTTTTAGTATCATGATTGATAACTCAGTTTTCTTTTGGTGTAATATTTCTTATACCTATTAGCGAAGATATAGACGAAGTGAAAAGATCACAACATACATCACAAAGGTGATATGAATCAACATATGCAAGATGTTACTATAATTCTACTTTTAAAATTTTGAATAATGCTTGAATCTTACATGGCTAATCATGGCATATATTGAATAAGTCTTGCGGGTGTAAATGTTAATAATTTCTTTGTTATACTTGACACTTGCACAAAATCTTCTGAGAGGGATGACGAAGGAGGCTGCACAGTTTTTACGTATATCGTTCAAAGCAGCTTTAAAAGCTGTAATAAAATTATGACTCTTCGACAGCTTTTAGCATCATGATTGATAACTCAGTTTTCTCTTGGTGTAATATTTCTTATACTCATTATTGAAGATATAGACGAAGTGAAAAGATCACAACATAACAAAGGTATATGAATCAACATATCAAAGATGTTACTATAATTCTACTTTTAAAATTTTGAATAATGCTTGAATCTTAATGGCTAATCATGGCATATATTGAATAAGTCTTGAGAGGTTAAAATGTGAATAATTTGTTTGTTATACTTAACACTTGCTTAAAATCTTGTGAGAGGGAAGACGAAGGAGGCTGCACAGTTTTTACGTATATCGTTCAAAGGCAATTTAAAAGCTGTAATAATATTATGACTCTTGGACAGCTTTTAGGATCATGATTGATAACTCAGTTTTCTTTTGGTGTAATATTTCTTATACTTATTAGGGAAGATATAGATGAAGTGAAAAGATCACAACATACATCACAAAGGTGATATGAATAAACATATCAAAGATGTTACTATAATTCTTCTTTTAAAATTTTGAATAATTCTTGAATCCTACATGGGTAATCATGGCATATATTGAATAAGTCTGCGGGTTAAAATGTTAATTATTTTTTTGTTATACTTGACACTTGCTCAAAATCTTCTGAGAGGGATGACGAAGGAGGCTGCACAGTTTTTACGTATATCGTTCAAAGGCAATTTTAAAAGCTGTAATAATATTATGACTCTTGGACAGCTTTTAGGATCATGATTGATAACTCAGTTTTCTCTTGGTGCAATATTTCTTATACTTATTATTAAATATAGACGAAGTGAAAAGATCACAACATACATCACAAAGGTGATATGAATCAACATATCAAGATGTTACTAATTCTACTTTTAAAATTTTGAATAATGCTTGAATCTTAGATGGCTAATCATGGCATATATTGAATAAGTCTTTCGGGGTTAAAATAAGAATAATTTCTTTGTTATACTTGATACTTGCTGAAAATCTTATGAGAGGGAAGACGAAAGGGCTTTAAAGTTTTTACGTATATAGTTCAAAGACTGCTTTAAAAGCTGTAATAATATTATGATTCCTAGACAGCTTTTAGCATCATGATTGATAACTCAGTTTTCTTTTGTGTAATTTTCTTATACTTATTAGCGAAGATATAGATGAAGTGAAAAGATCAAACATACATCACAAAGGTGATATGAATAACATATCAAAGATGTGACTATAATTCTTCTTTTAAAATTTTGAATAATGCTTGAATCCTACATGGCTAATCATGGCATATATTGATGAATAAGTCTGGCGGGGTTAAAATGTTAATAATTTCTTTGTTATACTTGACACTTGCTCAAAATATTCTGAGAGGGATGACGAAGGAGGCTGCACAGTTTTTACGTATATCGTTCAAAGGAATTTTAAAAGCTGTAATAATATTATGATTCCTGGACATCTTTTAGCATCATGATTGATAACTCAGGTTTCTCTTGGTGTAATATTTCTTATACTCATTATTGAAGATATAGACGAAGTGAAAAGATCACAACATACATCACAAAGGTGATATGAATCAACATATGAAAGATGTTACTATAGTTCTACTTTTAAATTTTAATAATGCTTGAATCTTACATGGCTAATCATGGCATATATTGAATAAGTCTTTCGGGGTTAAAATAAGAATTTCCTTTGTTATACCTTATACTTGCTGAAATCTTCTGAGAAACGAAGGAGGCTTTAAAGTTTTTACGTATATAGTTCAAAGACAGCTTTAAAAGCTGTAATAATATTATCATTCTTGGACAGCTTTTAGCATCATGATTGATATTTCAGTTTTCTTTTGGTGTAATATTTCTTATACCTATTAGCGAAGATATAGACGAAGTGAAAAGATCACAACATACATCACAAAGGTGATATGAATCAACATATGCAAGATGTTACTATAATTCTACTTTTAAAATTTTGAATAATGCTTGAATCTTACATGGCTAATCATGGCATATATTGAATAAGTCTTGCGGGTGTAAAATGTTAATAATTTCTTTGTTATACTTGACACTTGCACAAAATCTTCTGAGAGGGATGACGAAGGAGGCTGCACAGTTTTTACGTATATCGTTCAAAGCAGCTTTAAAAGCTGTAATAAAATTATGACTCTTGGACAGCTTTTAGCATCATGATTGATAACTCAGTTTTCTCTTGGTGTAATATTTCTTATACTCATTATTGAAGATATAGACGAAGTGAAAAGATCACAACATACATAACAAAGGTGATATGAATCAACATATCAAAGATATTACTATAATTCTACTTTTAAAATTTTGAATAATGCTTGAATCTTAGATGGCTAATCATGGCATATATTGAATAAGTCTTGAGAGGTTAAAATGTGAATAATTTGTT